CGTTCCAGGGACAAGCGACGGGTTGATCCTGAGGCTGAGTTTCTTTGGGAATCATGCTTGAAGGAATGCGAGAAGGGCTGGGCTGCTCCTCCGGCGTCGCTGGCCGCGATGGACCGCGAGTACGGCGCCGGGCGCTGGGCGGCCGTGCCGTCGTTCGTGCACGTGCAGCAGAACGGCAAGCGTCGGCGGATAGACGATGCTAAAGCCGGTGGGCAGAACGGCGCGACGGTGTACCCTGAGAAGTGGCACTTGCCATCAGCGTTCACGCCTGCATTGCATGGCAAAGTCTTGAGGCAGCGGTCGGGAGGTACGCCAAACACCGGAGGTGGCCTTTTCCCCCTCCCCGCCGGCCGGTGTGTCGCGGGTTTCCCGCGGGCCGTTCCCCCGGGTCCGTTCGTGTGGGCCTAGTGGGCCCCTCCGGTGTCCAAGGGGCGTGGTCCGGCCCGGTGTTTGGCGTGCGCCCTCAGGCAGGAAGCTGCGGCGGGAGGCTTTGCTGATGAGGGCTTAACCCTTGAGACTGGAGGCGAGGACCTGCCGGACGCATACAGGTCCGTGCCGGTCAATCCCGCGCAGCTGCGATATAACGTCATTGCGGCGCGGGAACCGCGCAGCGGGGAGTGGCGATACTTGACTGCATTCGCCATGCTGTTCGGCTTGTCGTCGAGTGTTATGAATTTCATGCGGTGGTCTGCCTTTCTGGAAGCCGCTGCCAGGCGCGTGGCGGCATTGTTGCACACAATGTATGTCGATGATGGCAGTCTTGGGGACCTCGGATTGGCGAAAGGCTCGGGACAGGCTTTACTCAACGTCTTGTTTTCGGAGTTGGGTACCCCGAATGCCAGCGCGAAGCAGCAGCGCATGGCCGCCACTGGGGCATTCTTGGGAGTCGATCACGACGTGTCTCGGGTTTTTGAAGGCAGAGGGGTGGTCTCCTTTTGGCCGAAGGCCAGCATGATTGACAAAATCAAAGGCCTGCTCGCGGAGCACCGTGCGCGGAACAGCCTGACACCAGCGGAGGCCTCGAAGCTCCGGGGCATTCTGCAGTGGTCGTCCTCCGCGATGTTCAACGGCGTCGGCAGCGCCGCGATGGCGCCGCTGAAGCAGAGGCAGTACACTGACGCGCCTCCGTGGGCGTTATCCCACGCGATTCGGCGGTGCTTCGATTACTTCGAATTTGTAATAGACCTTGCCCCGAAGAGAAGCGTCGACGTGAGCCCGCCCTCGTGTCCGCTGATTGTGATCGCAAGCGACGCGCGGGCTGACGGGGCGACCGCGCCCACAGGCGGCTACCTCCTGGTCGATTGCTTGACAGGGGAGCGTGTGGGAGGATGGTGTGTATTCGACGATGCCATACTCGCGGAGTGGGGTTTCTCGCCGGCGGACCGGGAGAGGGGCGCGAATCCGATCGCCCTCTGTGAGGGGGCCATGGTCCCCATTGTCCTGGCGCAAGAGGCGCGGAGGTGCCGAGGGAGGCGCATCCTGTGGGTGCTTGACAACACGAGCGCTCTCCACAGCTTCGTGAGTGGCAGGTGCGACCATGCTACCCTGGACCGGAGCGTCAAGCTTATGAATTTCTTCAAGGCGCGCGCCGCGAGGGCAAATCGCGGGGGGACGCGCCGTGCAGCGTGTCGCGCCAGTTTCACTGCGACATGTCCACCTGGCTCGAGTGGGTAGACTCGAAAAGCAACTGGTCGGACGGGATCTCACGGCGCGCCGTACGCGCGCGGGGGCGGCCTTCCCCCGAGTCGGCCACTCGCGCGGTGCCAGGCGGCTCGGCGAGGATAGCTTCGCCCGGGAGAATGGTTTTCGTACCGGCGAGGTGAGAGTGGACCCGGCCGCGTGGCGCGGGTGCTTACTAGACGCGTGGCGTTGGGTGCTACGGCGCGCGGAAGGCGCGTTCCGCGAGGGCAATTCGCGGGGGGTGGGCCGCGGCGTGCAGCGTGCCGCGCCAGGCTCAGTGGATTCGCCGTAAAGAAGGAGTCCGCGCAGGAGAGGTGAGCGCGGGCCCAGCCGCGGGGCACGGGCATGCCTCAGACACGGGGCGCCGTGTACATCGACGCGCGATTGCGGAGCGGCGTCGGACCCAGAACAGCGTTGGGGGTGCAGAAACGCGGAGCCAGAGCAGCGTTGGGGAGAGCGGCATTACTGGCGAGCCACGCCAGGGTCTTGCCTTCTTCACGCAGGTGTTCCATTCGGGGGGTTTGGTCACCCCAAGGTCGTTCTGCACCCCCGGAGCACCGTTGCACTTTCTGGGGTCGGGGGACGGGGTATGGGTTGGGGGAATGGGTGGGAGGATGGGGCCGTCGCGCGCCGTGTTCGCAGGTGGAGCGCGCGCGCGCGCGCGGAGGAGCGGGCCGCCCGCGTGCGCTTCGCGCCGCGGCGGGGCGCGTGCGATGCGCGGCGCGCGAAAGTTGCCAGGGGCCGCGCAGGGCGCGGCGCGGGGAATAGGCTGTCGGTGATTATGCGTTGACTTTAGGCTCGGGGAGGCTCGGGTCAGGGAACCATAATCATGACAGAAGGGGCGCCCGCGCGCGCTCGCAGGGACTGCGCGCATCAGAGCGCGCAATTGGATCGTGCGAGCAAAGCGCGTTGGCGACAGCGGTTGCTGTTGGTTTGTTTCCCACCCACCACACCCTGGGCCCCGGTGGGGTTACCGGGGAGAATTTGGGATGGGCGCCGGCGTGGACTTCGCCGTGCAAGAGGCGATGCGCACCGGCTGCGAGGGGTCCTGCCTCGGGTCGGCCGAACGTGTGCGTCGCAGGTGCGAGAACGCCGCGCAGGTCAGCGCGTGCGGGGAGGGGGCCTTCCTTCCCTGGTGGCCGCTGGCAGCGGTCGCATCACCAGGTGTAACGTCTGACAGGTGCGCGACATGTTTTGCGCGCGCGAACACGCCCGCCGTATCCCGACCCCCGGTGGGGTGCTCGGGTCGGCGAGGGCGGCGCCGGACGCCGGCAGTGTTCGCTTTCCCCGTGGGGAGAGCGGCATTACTGGCGAGCCACGCCAGGGTCTTGCCTTCTTCACGCAGGTGTTCCATTCGGGGGGTTTGGTCACCCCAAGGTCGTTCTGCACCCCCGGAGCACCGTTGCACTTTCTGGGGTCGGGGGACGGGGTATGGGTTGGGGGAATGGGTGGGAGGATGGGGCCGTCGCGCGCCGTGTTCGCAGGTGGAGCGCGCGCGCGCGCGCGGAGGAGCGGGCCGCCCGCGTGCGCTTCGCGCCGCGGCGGGGCGCGTGCGATGCGCGGCGCGCGAAAGTTGCCAGGGGCCGCAGGGCGCGGCGCGGGGAATAGGCTGTCGGTGATTATGGCTCCCGTCTGTCCCAAGAATACCGAATCTGGCTCTGAGGTGGCCCCAGGGCCTCCCAGGGATACCCTGAGAAGCCCAAAGTGGCGAGCAGCCACTTTGTTCCCAACCATCCTGTGGTTTTGGGTACTCGTTTTGAAGAGGCAGCGCCCCGCGTCACGCCCTCCTCGCCCCTCTCCTCCCTCTGCTTCAGCCGTCTCCGTGTCTATTTTGGCACACTCAGACGTCTCGTTGTCCCATAAGAAACCCCACAGAAGCTTCCAGGGGGGTGGCCTCAAAGCCTCCCCCCGCCCATTTCGGCACACGACTCACACGCTTCATGGCCCCACAGCCGGAGCCCCCAGGAGGTGGTCCCTTCTAGCGCCCCGCTGCCAATTTCGGGCCACTCGTCACATGTGCCATGACGCCATCGGGAGCTCCACCAGAGCCCCCAGGGGGTGATGCCTTCTAGCCGCCCCCAGCCCGTTTCGGCACGTACGCGCTTCGTGGCCCCATGAGGGGGCCCCACCGAAGCATTCCGGGGATGGTGCCTTCTAGCGTCCCCCTGTCCATATTTCGGCACACACACACACACCTCACGCGTTTCGTGGCACCGTAAGGAGCTCCACCTAAGCCACCAGGAGGTGCTGCCTTCTTGCGTTCCCCCTCCCATCTTACCCCCCACCTCACGCCCTTCGTCACCCCATATGGAGAGTCACCGAAGTCCCAAACGGGGGTGGTGCCTCATAGCGTCCCCCCCTCACGCGTTTCGTGGCCCAACAGGGAGGTCCATTGGATGCGTCCACATGCGGCTCTCCGTCCATGCCGTCGCACCCCTGACACGTTTCTGGGCCCCATCTGGAAATCCCCTCCTTCGTCCCACCTGCATTGCGGTACCCGATTGCGTATGGTTTGGTCCTTCGCCAGGATCATTTTCGATCGCTTTCTAGCCCGTCTGGCTTCCGACGGTCCTCCGAAGCTTCCAGACGGGCCAGAGATGGCTCAAGAGGTCCCCGAGGGATATCAAAATGGCTCCAACAGGGCCCCAGCTGCCTCTCCTCTTCCTTCCTTCTCCTCCTTGCCTGGTGCTTCCCGTGGTGGAGTCCCCTTTCCCCCAGTGGGGAAGCTGGCAGCTTTCATCACCACCGCATTTGGGCCACGAGGAAACAACAAGGACCCCAAAGGCCCAAGAGGATTCCAAGATGTCCCCGCAAAACCTCGGAGGCCAGGCCGTAGAGGGTTTTTCACACGTGCCACTAGATGGCCCCAGGACGGCCCCAGAGTATTTCAGAGGCTCCCGCAGGGCCCCAAGGGCACTCCAGAGAGTTCCAGAAGGGTCACGGGAGCCCCCCTCCCGACCTCTAATTGGAGGCTACCCCGAGCAAGGAATTTCATCAGTGGTTCGTCCTACTTTCCGCGTTTTGTCAGGGGCGCTCGCCATGCTAGACCGCTAGCCACCTCCAGTCCACAAGCGAAGGGGAAGTGGTGCAACGTGGGGGGTCTGGGGAGGGGTAACCCCTGGTCGAAGAGGAAGATGGGGGCATGGAACAGCTGCTGCTCTAAAACACGAGCGCCCAGAGGCATGGCGGCATCAGGGACGCCTCTTCGGGCACATTCCAGGGGGCAGTTGCAAGAAGACCATGTTCCCTTTCGTGGGGTTGGCATCATTGTGGGGGAAATGGGAAATAGTGATCGCGTTTCCTGTTGCACTGCTCTGAAGGTGGCGCCCTACCCGGTGCTCTTCGTATACCCGTGGCAGAAACTTTATCCGTACGCATTCGTATGTGGCTCATGTGGGTCACTTGGCCGAGGGCATTCCAGCCAAAGGGGCAGCACTTGAATGAAGTGATGGCAGGCTTTTGCAGATATGTTTGGGATGCAGGGGGATCGATACGTTAGGATGCCCAGGGGAAGTGTTGCGTCGAGCAGCCGGGCAAGCATGTCGCAGAGGACTTGCCATATCGTTTTGCAAATTGTGAGACTGTGTTGCCCTCCGCGTTTATAAGCAAAGAAACAAGACTTGATCAAACTGTATTGGCGCAAGCCAAGTCAACATTGCAGCGCCGACTCTTGAAATCATTGCTGTTGCGCTTTCGCGTCGGGGCTGCACGCAGCTGGCCCACTTCAAGAAACGACGCTTTTCAGCCAGGTCACTTTCTACGATTTCCGAGTACTCGTGCTGAGAGCGTCGCTCAGTGTATTTCCCGCGAAGCCTGGCCCCCAAGCAGCTCTAGAGTTGCTCAGTCCTCGAAGAGTGGCCCCCAGTTTACATGCAGCATTTAATTAGGTCAGACAGGACTCTCGATATGCACTGGTCGCACGTTTACCAAGTCTGGGGCGTGTCATACATCATATGAGGAGGAGCGGGAGGAGGTAAAGGAGGGAGGATGGGCAGCAGCAGGACGAGGAGTGCTTGTTTGGTTTTTTGGACCAGCGTTTTACCCGCAGGATCGGGTAACGAGCGGGCGGATAAGAAGGAAGAAGGTTGGGAGCTGAGAGGGGGAGAAGGAACGAGGTAGGTGATTCTTTCTGCACTGGGAAATCGACATAGAGAGGAGGTCCATCCTGTCCTGGTGGTTCGGTTCTTTGCGACAGACCCGTCTGGTTCGATGATGTTCTCGCGCTCACGGAGAGCTGAGTCGGATACAACGGCGGATGTTTCAAACCCGCATTCAAATACACATCAGTTAATGCATCAGCAAGGGCACGGTCAAGAGTACGAGGGCATTGATTCATGCATTGAGCAATTTTCAGGTCGAAAGTGGCAGTCTGTACGATGGCAGTGCCGTTTTTGAAAGCGCCGCCTGTTCCATTTAGATGCGTTTCGTTTTGTGCGAGCTTTCAGAATGACAATTGCCTCCCGCAGTCGATCGCCCTCACAGACCCCTGACGACCATATTTTTCCCAACCGTCATGCGCTGTTGGGTACTCGCTTTGACTCTGCAGCTCCGCGCATCTCCTCCTCCTCCCCTCTCCTCCTCAGCCCCTCCTCCTCCTCCTCCTCCTCCTCCTCTTCCTCCTCCTCCTCCTCCTCGATCGCCTTGTCATCACTCACTCACTCGCTCACCTGTTCCCTCGTCTGCCTCCTCCCCTGTCTGCACTTGCTCTCCATTCGCATGCCTGTCGGCACACCCACGCACGCTTCGTGGCTTCATCGGGAGCTTTACCTATGGCCCCAGTGAACGGCGTTCGCATAGCGTCCCTCCTTTGTCACACCCCTCATCTGCGGTCTCGTGAGGATGAGCGCATGGCGGTTCCGCGCCCAATTCCGAACATCCCTCAATAGGATCATGGCCCCATAGGGGGGTCCTCCGAAGGTCTCAGTGGGGATGACCGCATGGTGGCGACACGCCCAATTTTGCACACCTCGACACGAGTATCGTGCTGCCACAGGGCGGTGCGTTCACGGTCTCAGGAAGGGTGGCCGCATGGCGGCGCCGTGCCCTGTTTGGCGCACCCTTCACAAGGATTGTCGCGGCATAGGGAGTTTACGGTTTCGATGGAGATGACTGCATGGCGGCGCTGCTCCCAATTCTGTAGCCCGTCACGAGGCTCGTAGCCCTATAGAGAGCTCGACCTACGGACTCCGTGGAGATGGCCGCATGGCGGCGCCGCGCCGAAATCGGCGCACCATTGCGAGGATCGCCTCCGCGGAGAGCTTTGCCTATGGTCTCAGTGGGAAAGGTTGCATGGCGGCGCCTAGCCCAGTTCGGTACACCACTCACGAGGATCGTGGCTACATCTTTGGGCTTCTTAATAAGGTTGGGGGGGTACTCAGACGGGTGTCAACCTCGCCTCGTCGTCTCGCCGCGACGGGGGTCGGAGCGCCTTCGGCGCGCGGGGGCTGCCCGCGACGGGGGTTGATGTGGGCGACGCTTACTAAGAAGCTCGGAGTCGGGAGCTCCATCTAGGGTCTCAGTGGGGATGACCGAATGGCGGCGCCGCGTCCAATTCGGCGCACCTCTCACGAGGATCGTGCCCTCACATTGGGCTCCACCTGCGGTCTCTGTTGTGGTGACCGCATGGCGGCGCCGCTCCCATTTCGGCACGCCCCGACCGTCACGAGGGCGTGGCCTCATGGGGACCTCCACTTACGGTCTGCGTGGGGATGATCGCGTGGCCGCGCCCACTTCGACATACTCCTCACGGCGATCGCGCGCCACCTACGGTCTCGCAGGAATCATCTGGTGGCGGCGCCGCACCCAATTCGGCGTACCCCTTACGAGGGTCGTGGCCACAGGGAGCTCCACCTGAGGTCTCGGTGGGAAGGATCATATGGCGGCCCCGCGCCCAATTCGGCACACCACTCACAAGGATCGCGGCCCCATCGGGAGCTCCACCTCCGGTCTCAATGAGGATGGCCGCATAGCGGATCCGCGCCCTATTCGGCACACCTCATGACGAGGATCGTGCCACCATAGGGAGATCCACCTACGATTTCAGTAGGGACGACCGTATGGCGGCACCGCGCCGAGCTCAGCCCTCCCCATCACGGGGATCGTGACCCTGCCGGTCGCAGGAGGGGATGACCGCATGGCAGCGCTGCGTTCAACTCGGCACACCCCTAACGATGATCGGGGCTCTGTAGGGAGCTCCGCCGATGGCATCCGTGGACACCGCCCGCATGGCTGCGCCGCCCTCCGTCCGGCACACCCCTCACACGAACTGGCCGCGGCGGAGAACCTGCCACGGATCGCGCCCTCAGCGGGAGCTCACCAGCGGGCCAGGTTGCCGCGCCTTCATGCAGCGCGCCGCCCATTTCGGCACATCCCTCACACGTAGTATGCCCCGCAGGGGCTCCATCGCGCCTGCGATGCTTGTGTCGCAACCCTCTGTTCGCACTGCCCTGCGGCGCTCACTTTGTGAAGGGACGGCCACGTCTTGCGCTGCACGCATCTGCAAAGGGTTGGGCCCTTCGGCAGGCAAACTTTGAATCGGCAGCCCCTGGAGTTGTCGACTCTAAAGGCTGCCGCCTCTGCCGCCGACCTCAGTTGTTGCTATCGCATTGTGGGCACGTGGCAATCTTGTCATCGGGAGTTTTAGGGTGATTCAGGGAGTGGGGGTCAGATCTGTGAAATCGTTGGGCTGGCACTGGAGCCTGGCACGAGGGGAACGCGATGTGCGATCGGTGCGAAGCGCCGCTGTGCGAGGAGTGTCGAAGCGGGATGACGGGGCCGAGAGGAGAAGCGTTCGTGCCGCCCGCGGCGCTCGCGAATGACACGATGACGTTCGACTCTCCAGAGGAGCTCTTTGCAGGGAAGGTCACGGTGCTCGAAATGATTTGCGCGTCCGTGTGCGTGACTTCGATGGTGTGTTTCACTCTGGAGAATCGGTTTCGGAACGAGCGCGCCTTCGACATGGAGACGGGAAACAACGCAGGCCGCATGGCGGCGCGTGGCAATGCGACGTCCTCCCCGATGCCGTGGACGGACATGCTGGCGCAGCTCAGCGCCGCGGACCAGGGGGGTGCGGAGGGGAAGCCGCCGTTGCTGCCACGCGCTGGCGCGGAGCTGGCGGGGATCGTGTCCGTAATCTTGAAGTCAGTGGGCGACGACAACACGGCCGCGGACATGGCGAAGTTCGTGCACCAGGCGCTGGTCCGTCGGGGCGTGGTCGTGAGGCTGATCGAGGGGTCGAAGGTGCGCGGCCATCGCTCGTGCCAGCATGTTTGCATGGACGCAGTGCGCGAGAAGGCCAGAGAGCTTCCTGAGAACGATGTGCCGCCGGAGATGATGCGCTTGGCGCCACTGGATGACGCGCTGGACAAAATGCAGATGCAGACGGCAGCGACGCCAGTGCCCTGGCCGGATAGGTTGGAGGAAGCAGCGGGGACCCTGGAGTGAGAAACTGTGGTCCTCGGCGCGTGGAGGCCGCGCGCAGTTTCGTGCAGCGCCTGGCGCCAGACTGCGCGCACCACGGGGTTGAGGACAGCACGGATGATAGCGAGGGCTGTTCGGAAGATGCAGAGCGGCGGGAAAAGCGCGGGCGATTCGAAGAGCCGGGAGTGGGCCTTGACGATGCACAGGGAAGAGATGAGGAGGAGATGCGGGTGGCGACGCGGGCGCTGGTGTTGGGCAAGCGAGTGGATCGGCTGCGCGTGTGCACAAACACTATGGTGGACCATTTCGAACCGTGGTGATACTTCTGGGTGGCTTTCGCGTTCACCGTCAAGTGCTGCGTGGGCATCCGGGACATGCCAGAATTCCAGCAGCGCCCACGATATCGACGCACAGAGGAGGCTCCGCGCGTGAAGCTTCCGCTCTGGGTGCGCATCATGAGTCGCCGCGTGGAGAGTCAACTGTCGCGCGGTTGGCACTTTGGACTCGCGTCGTGGAACCTCGTCTTTCGGTCCGCGGTAAACCTGAGTAAGACGTGGTCGGCGAGCCCGAAAGACGTGGAGGTGCCGTTGAAGCCCGAAGAAATCGGGGACGGGGCGAAGTAGATCTATCGTGCGCTGGGAAGTACGTATGTGGACGTGAAAAACAACGAAGCAGAAGGTAGTGGGGGACGTGGCCAAAGTGCCGTGCGTCCCAGGGCTCAGCAAGGCAGCGCATAAGCTGCTGACCAACATCGAGCACACTTCTCGGCGGCTTCCAGGGGCGCAGGAGACGCGACGGGTCATGTGGTTCAATGTGAACTCGCTCAGCGTGCGCCGTGGGGCACAATCTGATCGTGGTGAGGCTGTCGCGCGCGCGGCAACGCGACCCGGTTCGCATGACGGCGAACGACGCGTCTGCGTCGCGGGAAGCCGGTGGTTGGGAATGGCCGCCGGTCGCTCCGGAGACGGACGACGTGCG